GTGACATGAGCTCTTTCATATGCATTCGAAACTCACACATCGAACAGGCGAGATGGAGCACACCATGTTCCGATCGTTCTGCATGGCGAATAATCTGAGAAACCTGGCCGACACACATCTTCTTACGGAGATACTCCAGGAGCTCGCGCCCTGTCTCGAGCAAACCTTCAACGGCGATTCGAGGAACCCCGCCCCCACACTTGCAGATCTCGGACTTCCAGCCGACGAGGCGGTCGTTCCCGATCTCTCCCAATCCACACCCCTTTCACCTGCCCTCTACGACGCTCTGCTCCGCCGACTCTCTAGTGACGCTCACCTGTCCGAGAGGATCAGTTATCGATCGTTCGATACTCCTGTCGATCTATCTACGCCGATCCTGAATCCAAATGCCCAAATCCTCCCCGCAGTCATGCATCGCGGTCGACGGTACACGAACGTCGCCCACAACGCCGGCGACAGCCAGGTGGTATACCTACGCGCCCATGGCGCAACTACCCTCAACTACGGCCAGATTCAATCTATCTTCCTCCACCAAAGATATATCCAAGCTGGAGAGATGCGCCAACAGGTTTTCGCGGTCGTGAGGGCGTACCGCGCCCTTTCCGCAGCCGATTCAAGAATGGATCCTTACCGAGCACATCGCGGATTAGGCGCACGATTGGTCTACGCTCGACTTGAGCCTGTCCTTGAAGTGATACCGATGCAGTACATCGTTTCGCACTACGTCTCCTGTCCGTACGACCCGGTTTCCCCACCAAATGGAAATCTGACCCTTCAATCGGGATGTTTGGTCGTTGTCGCATTGGACGAGGTAGGCCGTTTATTACGTGCTCCCTTTCCAACGCTCAATTATCTATTAGGGATGGAACTACTAAACTCGACGTTGTAGACGCGTCCTCACGATGTTCGAGGACGCCCAGAGACGCGCGCGCGCGAAGCTCGATGCAATGCGCCATGTTGGGGCTCACGAGACGCGCGCGCGCCAATTTCGATGCAATGCGCCAGGGCTCTCCGTCATCACTACCGTCGCCGCGCGCGCGCGCAAGCGCGCCTCCTTGCTTTCCTTCTCTTACCACCCACCCACCTCCTGCCCGGTTCCTTCCTTCTCCCTTCCGTTCTGGAGCTCGACTACTACCATAATCCCCATCTACCGTAGTTCCCATTTCCCTGCGGCGCGTCTCTACTTGTCTTTGGCTCGTTCAAATCGGCCACGGTGCCAAATCTAGTATGTATTTGACCTCGCGTCGCGCGCGGGCGGCGTCTCTGGTAAACCCTCCGCGCGGAGGCGGACGCTGGCGCGAGCAGCGCGCGCGCCTCCTTCGCGCTTCGCTAGGCCCGGAACCAGCTCCACTAGTAAGCGTTTTGGTACACGAGTAGTGTGACTGCCTCGCGCGCGCATTGGTGACCCGCGCGTGCGAGTCTCAGTCGGGGAGCGAGTAAGCGTTTTGGTACACGAGTAGTGTGACTGCCTCGCGCGCGCATTGGTGACCCGCGCGTAGTCTCAGTCGGGGAGCGTCCGCGTCGTCTGGGGTGTCGGGGGTCTCTGCTTTTTGCGTAGCCTTTTCCGTCCCATAAAATTTCAGCCTTTTCGCCGAGGTAAAACGTTGATCATCTGATCAGAGGCAACATGTTAGCATTTCTCTAGAGGTGATCATGATCGCTTTTTACATCGAGCAATCGAAAGCCTTTGCGTACGGACAAAAGGCGTGGCAATGTTTAAGTTATCTAAACCATGATTCTGCCTCTAATAGGCTTCGTATTAATACTATCGCAAAATCGTACCGCATGATGCCACGAGAAACTTTACATCTTTGCTCTCCGAAGATGGTTGTAATGCGATCATGAGTTAAGCGTAGCCTTTGCCATACTGGCCGATCTTGATCATCTCCAATACCCTTTCCGCTAGCAAATATGCTATCGTGTTCACAAGTGGAAAGGGCTGCTTCTTTTGTCCCGCATTAGTCTTGTAAAAGTTCGAGATTTTCGACGGCGATTGGTTTGTCATTTATTCTCACATTCCTGATAGGGAAAGGCTACTACATTTTGTCTGATTAATGCTGCCTTTTCCCATCCTTTTCTCTATCGGAAAACGGTCATTTCTATGCAGTG